ACACACATATATATGTCTATATATATATATGTATATATGTACCTTAAGGAATATATATATATATGCATATATATCACATCTTGATTTTTTTTACTGCCCTTCTCTCCTTCCTCAGATTCCCTTCGCATCTCTGCAGTCTACCTATTTCCTACCATCTCTTATTCTTCTCTTTATATTTTGGATTTGTCATATAAAATAAACCATATATTAACCTATATTTATTTTATTTATAGCTACATTATGGTCTCAAGATCCATCATCTTCCTACAAATGACTCAAATTTATCCTTCTTTATGGCTGAGTAGTAACCCATTGTGTATCATACTATATATATATATATATATACACATATACACATATATATAGTAACCCATTGTGTATCATACTATATATATATATATATATACACATATACACATATATATAGTAACCCATTGTGTATCATACTATATATATATATATATATACATGTATATTCAAGCAGTAGCATAAAATTCTTAAAACACCAAGTCTCTAAATTTGCTAATTAGAGGTGCTGCCTAGCCTCCTGAAAAAACATCTTTCATACCAAACAATATTAGCATTAGTAGTCGCTAAAGGAATTTAAAATGGCAACAGAGAGAAAAGATGTTTTAAAACTCAGCTCAAGAAATTGCTCAGTCATCAGGGTTTTGTAAGCAAAATCTACCAGTCAAGCCTACCACAACTTCAGTGCTATTGCTTCGTCTAAACTACCAGCAAGACACACTGCCAAAGAGGGAGCGAAATATAAACGACTGCTAAGGGAAGCATACATTCATTCATATGGCGGGGGGGTAAGTTAATGATCTCTGAATTTTTTTTGAGCACCATATGCCAAGAGAGATCTTGAAGATCTAGTTTTCTTCATATCTGTGTCCCCACAGAGAGCTGCTGGACACAGGAGCAGGATAAGTTGTCCAGCTCGGTGCCTCGGCCCCAACACGGGGGCCCAAACACTGGCACCATGAACTGGCCGGGGTGGAGCCATACAAAGAGGAAAGAGGAGGCACGAGCTGAAGCCAGAAGTCCTGCAGAGGGCGGTGGCACCCACGAGCTCCCCGGGGACCTGGCCCGGAGTTGTCCGGAATTCCTCGCTCATCGTCCTGCCCCCCCCCAAACCCACGGGCTCACCGAAGCCGAGAAAGCACATCAGCAGCAGCACCAAAAGCCGGTGCGCCAGGTGACTGGGGTCGCAGAGGGCCGAAAGCGCCCGGGAGGCAGCGGGGATTCCACTGCGGGCCTCATCGGGGCCGCCTGCCAGCAGCGCCCGCGCTTCCTCCTCCTCCTCCTCCATCAGTCTCCAGAGATGCAGAAAAACTCTGTACCAGCAGGAAGCCAAGGGGCAGGTGCCCTGTAGAGGTTGTGGTCACGGGGTCGCGGCGCTCGAGTCACGTGGGGCCATGCTCACGTGACATGGAGGAAGTAGCTGACGGTAGCCAAGGGAGAAGTCACATGCAGCGGCTTCCGGAGGGCTGGACTACTCGGGCTCCTCTCCCGGGCTGGCACCCTAGGTAATATATATTTTCTCAAGTAAGTCTTCTAGATTTACATTTACATTTTCTAGATTGACATTCAATCTTCAATGTTTTTAGGTCTTTCTAATGTTCTAACCCTTCTCATTATAAAGTATACTAAAATATAGTAACAATTTAAATCAAATTTAAATTTTATTTTCATACTAATATTCAGTTATTTGTATTTTAATTTAAAAGTAAAATTGTTGAAATTCATATTGAAAGTTATATTCATCTTCTATTTTCATAATCTATTCTGAGTAATGTTTTATCAGAATAAAAGGTTTAAACTACTATATTATTTTAGAAAAAGGAATTCTACTGAAGTAGATTTGATAAATTATTCTTATGCAATAAGATGGAAGCCACGATATCTTGCCCTTTAATTGTAAACTTTGTAATTTTATAATCTAAACCTACATTGACTATTTCACAATAAGTAACATGTTGGAGAAAGTGTTAGTTCAGGAACACATTTTGATAAGGGAAGCATGAAAGAAGAGGAGTTGTCATCCATGGTTATTGCTGTTATGGAAGTTAGATTACTTAACTTCCATGACACCATAAACTGGCAGTCCCAAGTTAATATGCTCTTGGAAATTGACTATAGAGTTTATGAGACAGGTAGTGAAAACCAGATCATCAGTAGGAATAGGGGAACAAAATATAGGAATGGGAATATTATCCTAACCGAAAAAGCAGCTTCCTACCTCTCTGTCTTGAAGGTAAGCTGATGAAAACACCAGTTCAGCATGCAGTATGAGGGAAAGCAAAGCACTTACTGACAGTTGATACCTACATACATATTCTCTTTGTTTTTGTATTTAATGTAGGTGATGCTCATGCATTTGACGATGAGTGGTAAAATGAGATTCTGAAATACAAACAAGAGAGACAATGGCACAATCTAGAAAACGCTAGAATGCAGAGTGTCGGTCAGGAGAATTTTGGAACCAGAGAATTTAAAAGAAGGTAAAAGTTATAGAAACGTTATGTTATGTAATATCTCTGTGAAGGTTACACATATTTAATGTGTATTAGATATTTTGAAAAATTTTGCAAAAGCTTTAGCTTCCCTTGGAGTAGCTAGGGAAAATAAATGTCTTGAAAAATATATTAAAATAAGGGATCATTATACATTTCGTACCATTGTGGAATTATAAATTAATTTGGCTCTTTGATGAAAAATGGAAAATAATAAGTATTCCTATTGAAATCATACTCCGGAGAGACACAGCCTCGCCAGGCCTTAAAACAGAAATCTGTTCCAAGGTATAAGAAACTGGAGGGTTACAACAGAAGGTAGAGACCATTACAGAAACATTGATCAGTGGGTATCAAATCAGAAGTCTGTGCAGGATTACATGTGCTAATATCTTCTATTTGGGGTTTTTTTTTGTTTTTTTTTTTTTGAGTCCTGGAAGGCAACCACTTTTACTGGGATAACATGGAATCTCAGTGTTGTTTTGATTTGTGTTTCCCTAATGGCCAAAGATGCTGGCCATTTTTCATGTATCTATTAGCCATTTGTACCTCTTCTATTTTTGAATGAATCTTGTTTTTAGGAGCACCTGATTTTTTGTGTGTTACATTTATGTATTGTAGATATCAGTCCTCTGTCTGAAGAGGAGCTGGCAAAAAGATTTCCCCATTCTGTAGATTGTCTCTTCTCCATCTTGATTGTTTCTTTTGCTGTGCAGAAACTTAAATTTGATATAATCCCATACGTCGAT